GCAGGCCGACATGCCCGGCCTCCCCAGGCAAAGACAATGCGATGAGGATTAGAGGCTGGGCAAAAGAAATGGGTCATGGGAAACTCTGGGTCCCTTATCACTCAGTCCTAAGCGCCCTGAAAATGGGCACAGTCCCACATACACACACCAAAAAGACCTTTGGAAATTCCTGCTGGTGAGATGGCCAAGGAGGACTCAAGAAGACGGGAGGCCGTGGCTGGACCACCTGGATTCTGGCGTATCAGCTGGTAGGGAACAGAAGGAAGGAAGGAAACTCTTTTTGGAAGTTGGTTACCTGTAAATGTCAGAGGCACAGGTGGGAGTTCTATGTGGCAACATCCATGTGCTCTTTGGAAAACACAGAGGAAAAAGAGGAGCAGGCAAGCGGCAGAGATGCATTGCAGCCGGCTCCCGCCATCCCTGCTAAATATTTAGGAGCTTTGCAAGCTGGTTGTTAAACTGCTTGTAACTTAGACTCGGCTGTGGTGGAAGTATTTACACTACAAAAATTGGCAGAAGCCACAGAGCCAGGCTTTGTAACTTTTTTTTTCTTTTTCCCCACAGATCTCATTTCTCAACACACCACTGAGTACAGGAAGCAGAGGAATGGCAGAGAATCTCTTCCGAAGTAAGGCAATGTCCCAGCAGGGAAAGAGCAACTGCAAAGAGGAAGCACAGAAGTCTTCTAAGGTAGGTATTTTTTCCCTTAGGGACGTGGTTCAGCTATGGCTCAGACAGGTTATGGCACCTGCCCAAAGTCACAGCTACGTGCCAGAGTTAGAATTTGAAAACAGGTGTTTCCGGTTGTGAATAGTTGGGGTTCCCCCCTACCCCAACTAAACTTTGCCCATAATAAGTGATTGGAATGGAACTAGCTGTTTGACAGTATCTTTATAGGGCCAGTCCCATAGTTTCTCTAAAACATTCAGAATTCGTGAGTTAAAAATCCTACCTTGCTTTTGGCTTGCTGTCCAACAGCTTTGTTTCCAGAAAGGGAGCAAACCCTCCACGGACCCACATTTGGGAGAATTAAAGACCGTGCGTGTATAATGCAGGAAGCCAGTTCCAAAGATGGGTTTTGAGGAGGTTTGGGCACTGCCCCTCGGGTCAGACCTCACCTCTCAAGGAAGCCAGCTTTCAAAAGCAAAACTCGTGTAGAGGCAAAAATACAAGGCTGGTGCTGTTACCACATCCAAGCACAGTGGTTGCCACATCCAGGGACACTGGCAGGGAGTCTAAGTCCTGCTGGCTGTCTTGTAACACGCCTTGGGGAGGCCTTGGCAGGTGTCTCCAGCGGCACAGGGAGGCAGGGAGGTTGGAAACTCACTAGGCTTCTGGTTGCGTGTTGGTTTTTTTTTTTGGCCAGGGATAGCCACTTGTGTGGACAAGTATTATGAGGATGATTTACCTAGTCCGGATAAATAAAAAGCCTTCTTGGCTTCCCTAAGCGCTTTAGAATTTTATAGCACAGACTCAGCACTTCATCTGCACTCACGACTCAGACACCAGCAACCAGGCGCTGGAAGGGGTGATTCACTCAGACAGCCCTCGTGCTGGCTTCTGAAGAGGAGCCTGGCCCACTCCGTTCACGTTCACATAGAACTCGTGTTCTTTTCCCTTCAGAATTCAGAGTCACCAGGCAACGTGGGCCCGAAGGTGGGCTCATTCTGGTCTGCACTCACAGTTTTATTTGTGTTGCTGTGATGAGTGTGGGGGGTCCCTGGACATCCGCACCGCCAGCTCATTCCTGAGGCTTCCGCGGACTCATCTCACCACAGCCAAGGGTTCTCCCCAGGTAGGCAGGGCCTGCCTTCTGCCAGGTTTATTAGGGCCGATTAGCTCCTCAGAAGGGGACTGCAAAAATACCCACTAAGCAAAATTTAGAGACACCTCCCATCCAATGGACAACGTCCTACTGACAAGCTGTAACGCATCTAGAGCCTTCAGCAGTACCCCCTTCTTTTCCTGAGCTGCTTCTGGAAGCATCCTTGTCCCATGGCCACGGAATGGACAGGCAGATAGGCTGGAAGGTCGCGGGGCACCATGCCACACGCAAAGGGGATAACTGGCCTGGAATCACCCACTGATGGTGTCGAACCCCGGTGGCTCCGAGGCTTCCCACAGCACTATTTACATATTGAAACTGTCTCAACAATGTATAGAGATACTCATCTCTTCTGGAACGTCGTGAGTAATTTGTCTCGGTATCTCTCTGTCATTGAGACAGAAGGCTTGGCTCTACCCATGCAAAGATTAGTCACTTATATAAATAAGGATACAAACGGCTTCAGGAAATAGATTCCGTGGGTCTCACGGCGAGAGCCTGAGAACTGAAACGCACGTGGCCGAGGCATACCACGCCACCCGGCGCTCACCGCACGCGCGTCATTCCGCTCGCCCACCGCCCCGCCCCCGCCCGCAGCGGCAACAATGAACAATGATGAAGAATGCGCCCCGGGCGGCGCGGTCCGCGTGCGCGCGCCCCGCCTGACCAGCGTGGCCTCACTCTCGGGTTTCCCTCATTTGAGACTCACGTGTTCACTCCCTAGTCTGGCCTGACTCTCCATTTCCTCCCCACCCTGAACCCTTTCCCTGTCTCTACCCCTCCCCTTAGCTGGCCCCGGCTGCCCCCACCCAGAAAACTCCACTTGCTCCTTGGCCCACTAATGGCCGCTGTCCACCCATTATTCGTGGAGGACCTAAGCTGGCTCACTGGCTCATCTCCTGTCACCCGTGGGGATGACCGGCTACCCAGTGGCCAGTCGGGCCCCCACCTCCCCTCCACCTCTGTCGCCACTCTCACCACCTGGCATTGCTAATAGCTGCTCCGCACTTGCCATGACCATTCCCAGTGTCCCCTCCATGGCTGCCACCACGCCCTGCCCTCCAGCTCTCTTATTCAGCGTCCTCCCTGCCGCAGTCCACTCGCGTCCCCAGTCTTCCCATCACCTAGCTTCAGCACCTTCTCACTCCCTTCTCTTCACACCGCTCCTTCATTGTTATAACCCGTCACACCCTGCACACCCTGTGGGCACGGCTGTCTGAACCCCAGCCTCAAGCAGACCCAAAGGTTGCTTGGCCTTCTCTACACATACGTCATCACCAGAGGCCGCCTCTCAGCCAGGCTGCCGGGTTTGGCTCGCAGCTGCGTCAGGAGCAGACTCAGGGATGCTCGGCGCTGCTCACTGCACCCGCCGACCAAGGAGGCCAACGATAGCCCCCTTCAAGCCCACATTTATTCCACTTTCAACTCTCTGTTTCTACTCCTTAGTGGATGCATGTTGAAAGCTCATCTCCCAGCCATGGTCCCTTGGAGGAGTCGTCCATGGGACCCTGGCTCACGTACCAGGTCCGGGGCCACATCCTCCTGCTGGAGCCCAGCCTGCCTGGTCTCAGCGCACGCGTGTCTTGTTCCCCGAAGGACAACAGGAAGGTGGGGCCTGGGTCTCACGCTGCTTATGGGCCCTCGAGTGTGGGGGACCGAACTGGGCATGCGCACGAATGACAAGAACGGACATGTGTACAGTGTTCGGGATTCGCTGGGCCCAGCTCTATGCGCATTCTGTTAACTCTCATAGTGATTGGCCGCTGAGAAACTAAAGCAATCAGGAACTTACCCAGAGTCACATGGATGGTCGTAATGAGGCTGGAACGGGACCTGGGACTGCCGTGGACACACTCGGATTTCATGGGCAGATGGACGCCTCCTCCACGAGGTAGCGGCAGAAGAGACTTCCTAGGAAAATGCATTTCTGAGGCCATCACTTTCCACCTAGCGCCTCTCCCGCCATCTCTGGTGAAGGACCAGCTGGAACCAAGTTACGTCCTAGGGGCTGAAGAACAGAGTTCAGGGACCACTTGTTTGGACCTTGAGGCAACGTTAGGCCCTAAACGCTTGCTCTCAACATCTGTATCTGTAGCCAGCTATTCGGACCCACATTGGGTCCTGGGGTCCGAATAGCTGGAGACATGATCGGGGAAGCAGCGGGTCAACCAGACTGACCTGAAGCCTGGCAGGGGTGCTGTTGAGACAGCGGATGGGAAAGCATCACCCTGGCTGGCCTGGCCTCCTGTGTCTAGAGCTAGTAGTGGCCCCAGTCCAGGTCAGCCCCATCGCTGACCAGTGAGAAACCACAGGCTCAGCGTCAGGGCCTTTGGGTCTCCTCAGAAGGACTGATCAGACCACTCGAAGACAGAGGTCAGACCGATGGACCTTGAACCAGGGGTTAATGGCCTCTGTCCAGTAAATGCTCCAAGTTTCATTCATTTTTTTTCAACAAATGTTTATTGATGGCCACGAGGCTCTGCGCCAGGATGCGCGATAAGGCTGGCCTGTGTCTCCTGCCAGTCAGGAGACAGACGCCTTGAACAAGAGCTCCCATGGACAGCAGAGGGGGGCTGGAGAGGAAACAAGAGGGGAGAAAAGAGCCCTCTCAGCATGGGTCTCCCATGCCGAGGGGCGGCAGGTTGCGGGGGAGCTGCCTGTGCCCCTGCCTGGACCAGCCCTTTTCTTGACACCAGGGAGGTGGATTCTCCCCAGTGCCTCTGAGTCAACAAGCAAAAGAACATCTGGTGGGTCAGCACAGTGTCCTGCACCTAAGGAACCGGGTCAGGGGGGCAGCCCGGCACAGGAGCCCCCCTCCCCGCTAGACCGGCCTCCTCTTCTTGTCCCCCCTTCTGCCCACCATTCTTTTCTGTGGCAGGAAAACAACGCTCTGAGCTGGGATCTGTCATGTCCCCAGCAGACGTTTGGAAGTTCTCACTAGGATGCTGCTGCTTCTTGATCTGCATAGAGAAGGTGGTCTGTGACCTCGGGAAGATTTGGGTTCAAATAAATCCCAGCCTGGCTACTGAATAAGGACGGCTGGCATGAATTGGTGAGTGCTTAGACTGAAGCCTCCAGCCCAAAGCCAGCACCGCTGAGTACTAGACCTGTGACCATCTCGTGCCACTTGACATTTCTGTGCCTCAGTTTCCTCCCCCATAACATGGAGACAGCTATACTTACCCGGCAGGGGAGACGCCATGATCACGAAGGCGGTTTTCCCAGGGCGAGGCTCACCTACGGCGCTCCGGACATGCCGACCCCTGAGATTTCTGCAAATGTGGGAAACTTGATGCAGAATTTGTGGCAGTGGGGGACTGGGTTCGTGCTCTTCCCCAGTTAAAAAAAAAAAAAAGGACATCACAGACATACCTGCTATGGCATTGTCCAGTGGACTGAGCAAGATTTCACATAAAGTGCTTAAAACACAGCCGGCTGACAGCAAGCACTCAGTTGTTAGCTAGGTTAGTTACTGTGTGTTAGTTATTGTTTGCTATGGCTATTATTCAGACGTGCAGGAAGAATTAAACAAGGCAATCACTGAAAAATGCGGAGTAGGTGCCTGGCAAACAGCAGTGGTTGCCCTTCCACATTTTTCTGATAAGATAAAAACCGTGTGGAAGGCCAGATCTGCCGTCCCCATCAGCCCGGCGGCACGGGCCGGCTGTCGCAGGCACGCTCCCAGGGGCAGCCCTCGGGCTCCTTCGGTGGACACCCCCAAGTCCTCCAGAGGGGTTGTGAAATTCCTGAAAAATTACCCACTTAAGTTCACCTTCATGCAGACGCATCATCTTGAAAAGGTTGCTTAAAAAAAAAAAAAGAAGAAGCGGCAGCAGCAGCAGCAGCAAGGAGGCCGAGAGGAGAAAGAAGCTGATGTCAGGGCCCAGCCAGACCCGAAATGCTTATTCCCTCCAGAATGGGAGCTTTGTTGGCTGCCTCTTCCTGGTCTTGTCTGTGGAGAAAGGCTGGAGGTGACTGTGGGAAAGGGAGGGGAAGAGCCCAGACAAGGGCTCTCACCCACGGCAGCCGCTGCCCAGCTGCCCGGCCGAGGGGCTCGGTGACAGGGGCTGGCTCTGCGTGGGGTGGCCCCAGAGCACCCCTCTCTGCAGCTGCTGCCCACTAGTGAGAGGGAAGCAGCTGTGCCCCACGGAAGGCCTTTCTCCGTGCAGTTTGCATCTCGGTGGTCCAACCTTTTGGCGTCTCTGGGCCACACTGGAAGAAGAAGAGTTGTCTTGGGCCACGTATTCAATGCACTGAGACACGTGATCACAAAACATTCTCCTAGTGTTTTAGGTAAATGTAGGATTTTGTGTGGGGCCGCATTCACAGACATGCTTGGCCACAGGCGGTCCGCAGGCCGAGGGATGGACACACCTTCTAGACCCTGGAGTCGTCACTACCTGTGCTCCCAGCAGGGCTGGCCTGTACCTGGCATTGAAGCCTCTTCCCGAACCCAGGCTGGGGCCCAGTCACGGTGCTGACTGGACTGTCCCGTTGGGTCGGTGACCAGAGAAGCTCCTCAGAAGTCACTCGACTGTGCTGGCCTCCCCTAAACTGCCCTGCGATGGCCTGAGCGGGTGTGTCCGTCTAAACAGCCACCCAGCCCCTGACCTGGGCTTCACATGGGGACTCGGTTTCCCCTCACCCCTGTCTCTGCCCCCTGGCACCTGTCCGCCTCCCCAGCCATCATGGTCCTACCGTGTTGGGGCTGGGGGCAGGGACAGGCACCCCTGGGCTGGGTCAGCTAAGGTGAGACCAGGGGAGCTCAGGCCAGACGACAGCAGGTGAGGCAGGTAGCGTGTGATGTGCAGTGCGGTCTCCTTGGGAGCGTCCTGTGGCGGGTGAGTCACCTCCGAGGCATCCCCTGGGTTATAAATAGGTAAATAGGCCTGGCTGGGAGTGCTGGGAAGGAGAACAATACAGGCCCATTGTCCTTCCTGATAGGTTGTTACTAAACCGTGAATAATCCCTTGGAGGGAATTTGAGACTACGCCGGAGCCGGGTCCGGGCCAGGGGCTAGGTGCCCAGGAGTGTGCCAGGGCTGCACCTGTAGGGCCGCGTGGAATGAATCAGACACTGACCTTATCCCCGATTTAGAGATGGATCGACAGGCCAGAGACCAGCTCAGGGTTCTGCAAGCTGAGTCAGTGCTGGAAGCCAGGTCTGCCTGTCATGAGGCCTCTGCCCTGTACCAGGAGTGGCCCCTGGGGATCCCAGAACGACCAAGCCATCAACTCGGACACCCCGGGGCTAACTAATGTAGTTAGTTACTTCCCACCAACCAAAGCATCCAGTGAAACCCGAGTCCAAGGTTGCCCGTGGGAATTGCCACCCACCAAGACAAAGGGGTTGGAAATCCCTTCAAGCAGGAAAGGATCTATTAAATGTTTTTTCATCTTTATTCCGCTTCAAAACATTAAATAAAGGCCGGAGCCAGGAAAGCCTTCCAAGAGGAACTAAGCGAAAGCCCGGTCTCAGCTACAAGGTCGTTCTGCTTCCCTGTGCCAAGCAGCCTCAGGCCTTGGTCCCCGCAAGAGTTCTGGAGATCATTCCAGCCACTCCCGGGCCCACGCCGCCATGCCCACCCCCTGCTGGGATGGAGCCAGACTGGACCTGGCCGGGTGGGCATGGGAGGCCTTCAGGGACCAAGACGAGGTTTGGGTGGGACCCCACCCAGTTCCATGGGCCTCAGGCCAGACATACAGGACTGTGCACATTCCTGAGCGGCCCAGGAAGCGGACACCTGGGGTGAGCGTCGTCAGAGCCTCCTCCCAGCTGACCCTGAGCTCCTGGTCTGGCGGGGACAGAGTCTGGGAAGATGTCTCCTGCTTTCTGGGGTATGGAAGGTATTCGGGTGGAGTAGACCGCACCTGGTCTACACCAGCGAGGCTATAAGAGCTCCGTGTAGCTCCACGAATGCAAACCAGGCTGGAGGTTGGTTAGCTTGGTTTTTGCATACATACCAAGCAGCCCTCTTTCCTTCCTGCCCCCAAAGCAGCTCTTGTGAAAGGTCTCAGTAGGAGATGCATTTTGGGGAGAGGGAAAGAGCTCTGAGTCGGCCCTGAAAAGGGGACTTCTAGGTGGGTTGTCGGGGAAGATCCTTTCTGCAGTTTGGATCTGAGATCGAGCTGGCAGCAGACTGGACGCGTGGGCTTCGCAGACGCCACTGGAAGCCCTCGCCTCCCCGCCCCCCATCACAGCCACCTCCACCGCTGGCAGAACCACCAGCATTATAACCACCGTCTTCAACACCTTCATCACCTCCACCTTCACTCACAGACACTCTCACGCTGCGAATGAATCTAGCAACGCCTTCTTCCGGACTTCTCTGCAGTCTGCTCCTTCCCTGCACGCACACAAACACCCCGAGTTTAGGACGAGTCCCCATCAATCTTGCAACAGCTGCTCTCCATTCTCCATCTCCTTCTCCTCCCACCTGCTTGTCCACAGCTGTTAGAGGAACTTTCTAGAGGGTTCAAAGACCTTCAGGGGCTCTCCTGACTTTCCAAAACATGCCCTAAAAAAAACCCCAAAACAATCATGATAAAGTTTGGGAGATGCTGGGCCAAGCATCAAAGTGCGTTTCTCTATTGCAAGATTCGTCCGAGCCTTTTGCATGCATGAGCATCGAGACACTCCAGTGGGAAGAACGCAGACGCAGTGTGTAGAGCTTCCTGAATTTCCTCGGTCTCCTTTATTGGCCCAGGTTTCTCCACCCTCCTAGCTGGCGCTGGCATCCATGGACCCACCTGGTTCTCCTCCCAGCTCTGGGCTCTCTCCACAGTGGTTCCCACCACAGCTGCCGCTGTGGCTTCAGGACCCTCCCATAATCCCCTGACGGATACGCCCGCCCCAGTTCTCCCCTGAGCTCCCAGTCTGAATTCACCCACCTCCCCCTTGACTGATGCCCTTTGACAGCTGTCACGCTCGGGACAGTGAAAATATCACCCCACGATCTTCCCTGTCAAACCCAGCTGCCTCCGGTCTCCTCCCATCTCCATAGAGGGTACTACCATCTACCCGACTTCCTCACCCCCAAAGCTTTGGCAACAAGTTACTCCCCCTGAATGTGTCTTTTTCACTTTGTTAGTTTTTTTGAAATGTCTATTTCATGGTGATGAGAATACTTGCCAAGCGAGCTGCCCTCTTAACAAATTCAGGACACAGTTCGACATTATTAACTAGAGGCACCACGGGGCAGGAAAGATCTCCAGAACTCCCTGCATTGTTGGGACCTCATGCCCGTCAGCCCTGATCCCCTTCCACTGCACTCCCAGCTTCCATGAGTTTGACGATTGTAGATGCCTCGTGAGGATGGAGTCGCATGGCATCTGGATCGCACTCGGTGCCGTGTCCGCGAGGTGCCTCCGTGCTGTTGCGCATGCCACGGGCTTCCCTTCTTTTTTAAGGTTGGGTAATTGTCCACTGTGCATATGGTACTTACCCATTCGTCTGGCGGTTAGTGTTTTCCATGTCTTGGTTACTGTTGACAACGCTGCAGTGGACGTTGGTGCGCTACTCTCCCTTCGAGACCCTGATTTCAATATTTCGGGATATACACCCAGAGGCGGAGCTGCCGGCTCCTACAGACATTCAATTTTAAACGTGTTGAGGAACCTCTGTACTGCTTCCCACAGCCGCTGGGCTACTTTGCGTTCCCAAGAGCGGTGCTCGGGAGTTCCGATTCCCCCACATCCTCACCAGCACTTGTTTTCTTTCTTTCTTTTTTTCTTTAATAATGGCCATTTGACCGGTGTGAGGCGGTATCTCACTGTGGTTTTGATTTGCATCTGCTTGACGATTAGTGACTCTGAGCCTGTTTTTGGTCCCCACTGCCACGACCTAATCCACGCGCTGTCCTCTCTTGCTCGGACTCTTGCTGGAGCCTCCAAACAGGCCTCCCTGCCCCACGCTCACCCACCTGCACCCCTACCCACTCCTCACAAGCACATAACCCTTTCCAAACACAAATGGTTCTCTCGTGCTTTTTCCAGTTCCCTTGTTACTCAGGGTAAAAGCGAGCATCCCCAGGGCGGCCCCTGTCCTGACAGCAGGGTTTCCAGCAGCCGATCGGCCATACAGACTTTTGGGAATCGCCCTCCAGCCCCTTCCCCTCTTCTCCCGTCACTTCCCCAGACTCCTGTGTCTGACTCCTTAACGCCTCTGAGCTCCGCTCCAGTCCCACATCACGTCAGAGCCCTCCCCGATGCCTTCCGCACATTCGTTCTGTGACAGCAGGCGCTTCTTCTTCCTAAACTCCTCAGGACTACGATTCCCTCGGGAGCGGTGGGTAGCATCGGTTTCTGCTGCCAGAATGCAAACTACAAAGGGCAGGCTG